CCAGCCATAATGTCCTTTTGAAATATTTTTAACATTACAGTCACTGCTAACCTCCAGTAGCATGGTAACTGTTTACTTGAAGATTCCTCTGACAGCATCCGCTGCAGACTACCACAATTTGTTTCTCAAGGTGTTTTGTGAAACTCTGCTTTCTGATCACCATTAATTAATACTGTTCAAAAATATAAACTTGTAACCACTTCCATGCCGTGATACTTGAAGCGTTTACCTTATTGCTGAGCATGTTAACCTCATAGAACACCCATGATAACTGTCTTAATTTCCAAGTACATTCTATCCCCTTGGCTTACTCTTAAAACTTTGATTCCTATATCATGCTGATTGTTCTATTATTTTTACTTGGACTTCTGCCATTCCCATTTTTTTCCATCATGTGTTTTGAAACGGCTCCAGAGGTCTTTCTCTTCAGTTATATCAGCATAACTATCTCTTCAAATCATTTCACTCATCTTACTGAAGTGAGGCACTACTATTTACAGAGCCCAAATTTCTTTTCTGACTTTCATCTGCTTTCAGTCCATTCTACTTCCACAGGCCTTGCTGTCAATAATTAAGCCTCTTGATCTGTTTGTGAATAACTGTACCGCTTAATTTTGTGCTTAACAGAGCACACACAAATGGCTCTACTGGGTCACGCCAAAGTTCCACCCAGTTCACTTTCTGACTTCACAGTACTCAGTAGATGATACTTTGGGAAAGAGGGAAAAAGAAAAAGCTGCATAAACACTACTCTTAATATATTAATTCAGCTTCCAAAACACAAAAATAAGGGAGATCTGAGTGAGAGGTACTGTTGTTGCATTTAACAAATTTGTTAAGTTATTTTACACAAATTTTTCTAATCTTCTTGGACTAATCTATACTTCTGTTATTCACAAGCTTCTGGGAATTGATTTAACACCTCTATTTTATAATGTATGGAAAAGTTCCTCCTTTTGTTTGCTTTAAATCAATCAACCAAGTTTGACTTGTCTTGTTCTCCTATTAAACCATGAATATCCCTCCCCTAGTCACTTTCTCTACACCATTCATAATTTTACAGCTACTAGTCATGTCATCTCTATTCTTTCTCTTTTGGCTAAAAAGCTTCCAGTCAGCTTAAGTCTTTCTTCAGATGTTCCAAAACTATGACCAAACCTGTGAGGGCCCCAAGTGCATTGTCCTCCACCCATCTCTTGGGTGTTTGGCTGGGCTCAAGTGCTACTTAGAAATCTGAGTAGAGCTGGTGACCTTGAAGAAAGCTGGAATAAGATTCAGAAATGGCACCCCCCCCCTCCCTTGGGAGTTGCTTTTAAGCTGAGGCTTTTGCCCTTGCCCCGTCTCAAGGTATGCTGCAGCTGTCTTGCAGCCACATACCGTGTAGATCTAGACTCTGGTCACGACCTAGGGAGTGACTTCTGGCTTCATTTCAGACCTGCCTCATCACTTGGGACCTGACAGTGATCACTAGACCATGTCTGGCTATTGTTACCATTTCTAAACCTAATCCTGACTCAGCCTCTTGTCCTGACTTTGGACCTGTTCCATTACTACATACTTACTTGGTAATGTGGACTTTTAGCTGACCCTGGCAACACTCGGTGGGCCTGCCCTGCACAGGCACGGTGGGAGTGAAGCCCCAGCTGCTGTGGGCCTTGTTACCTGATTGGTCCCTGATTCCCTGTCCCTTGCTCCTCCCTGAGAATACCAAACCTTGCCACCCTCTCTGTTACGAAACGTGGGGGTCAGAACATTACATGAGAATCACAGACTTTACAGGGACATGATGTTTGTTTTTCTACTTCTTCCACAACCATGCTTATCTCTGTGTTTGCTTCTTTGACCACTGATATTTTCAGAGGACTGTCCAGAAGGACACCAAGACCCTTTCCTGGGAAGTGGCCAGCGAGGGTCACCACTGTTTATATAAGATGTCTCTCTGCTACTGGTTTTGATCTCCCCTTTTTATCACTCTTCATTCTGTACTGTGAGGTTCTTGGCATAACTGAACGGATGTGCATCATTAGCAAACTTAACTCACTCAATAGCTTTTCCAGTTCATTTCTGATTATGCTAAATTATTAAAGCCCAGTGAAGACCTCAGTGAAACCAAATAGCAATCTTAGTCCAGCACAAATTAAGTTTATTCCTACCCTGTTTCATAACTTTTAGCAAGCTCCCTTGTCAGGCACCAAAATTCTATAACCAGATGCACCTACCAGCAACTCCACAAACTACAGAAGAATAACCAACCACAAACCTATGCTACATACTAAATACTACTTCCCTTTTCAAATACTCTTCTAAAAAGATATACTTCTAGAATTAAAAAAAAAAAAATCTTGATTAAACAGTTTTATCTTCAATTCCTCTTTTATTACTATGATGTAGAGGCTTAAAATTCCCACCTGTGAAATAGTAAATGCCATTAATTTACATAGCTTCCACAGAACAGTCTGAATCCTCATAATATTAATTATTGTTACCATTCATATCTATTTAGCACTGTACACTGACATCTGCTATACAAAGCAAAAGAAATACAACCAAAACTGGTCACATGAACACTGAGAGTAACACAAGAACAGCCTATGGAATAAATTCAAAACAGTGGTATCAGCTTAATTCAACTCAGTCTTGAAGGATTGTATGATATTCCTTTCACTTTATGAGCAAGTTGGAAATGCCACCAAGATAAAATCTTGGTAGTGACATTACAAACACAGAATAAGTTGTCACATTGTTTACTCTGATCTCTTCAGAGATTAAATCTCATACAGATAAAAAGTATAATGACTTGGTCAGCTTTTCAGTCCTCTAGAATGCCAAGGCAGAACAAGACACTGAGATTCCACCAATACCCAAGGTCCTTGCAGAATTAATTGAAGTGAGTGAAATTCAAAAAGGAATGCTAAAATGTCAATATTCCAGTCAGCACAGTACAGGGAAAATATATTCCAAATCCCAAAGTGGGCAATTGGATTGTCCTTAAACAAATCAAATCACATAAGCAAATAGGAAGAATAATTCTTTATGTTATCTCAGAGCATCTGAGTCACCGGTCTGACATGCCATCTCCAATTGCAGGCAAGTTTTGACGTGTCAGAAGGCAGCAAAATATGTATTCAGGAATACATCTGGATCATTTTTCATTGGGCAAAACATTTCTGGTGCCCAGGTGAAACATACCATTTGTCACATCGATACCAATCAAACAGCTCAGCTGGGGGCAGGGCGGTGTCAGTGCTGACCTTACTTTTCTCAAATGTTAATTCAGTTGTTCTACACAGATATCTGAGGTGCTTGTGGACCAACACAAGTCACAGGCTACCACTTTAAGTAAGACTACTGATCTTATCATGCTTAAAAATGCTGGCTTTGTAAACTGTGGGAGTTCATTAGAAGATCAAGATGCCTGTACGGATGAAGACGCACATATTTGGGTACAATGACATCATCAGGTGAACAAGGCTCACAGGGTTCTATGATCCTCTACCT